GGTCAGATTGTGTCTTGCTTACTCAGAAATTCCTCATTTGACTTGAACTCACTGCACAGATAAGGAGGGACGGGGGCACTGGCAGCGCTGGGGGGCTGTGGGTCGGGAGTGAGGGGCACCATCATGGCCCAGGAGGGCAGGGTACTTTGGTTTTGAGTGAGGGGCACTGGCAGGACTGGGATCAGTGTGTTAGGAGTGAGGGTTAGCAGCAGGGCTGGGCAAGGCTGTGGCTTGGGAGTGGGGGACAACAGAATAGGCAGGGGCAGGGCACCAACATGTCCCTGGGCCCCCACACTGTAATAATCCCCCTGCCCCCCCACCGTGTGTGAAAGGTGTTCTCTTTTGGACCTGGAAATATGGTAACCCCAATAATGTGGAGTACAAATATAATGTGAAGCCTGAAATGCTAAAAGAAACAGGACATGTAAATGTTTTTTAGACTGTCCATTCAGGTCTACTGGCTTTGCTGAAGGATTGACTTCTGGACATGATTGCACTATGCTGCATATGCACTCTTAACTATTCATTTACTGTATTTTAAGTGCTTGATTTCTGGAAATAATCTGGTAGCAGATAGTGACTTTGGATGGGCAATGTTCAGTTTTAGAATATTTATTGGAAAGATATAGTCCCTTTTTGCTTTTTTCATTTAGCTATTGAGAATCATACCCCCCATGCCTTCTCTTCTCTCCCCTCCTGTCTTTGGTTTATTGTTCTATTTAAGGATGGATCTTCAGTGAGCATAACATCCTTGTTTGTGTACAAGGATCACTGTAATCAATTGTCATCAAGGATTGGGTTTGGTACACACAATCAAGGGTATTATACATAATGACTGTGGTATTGACTGGTTTCTAATTTTATAGTATGTTGGGTCCTGTTGAACTCTTTTAATATGATAATTGCATTACTACTCAGTAGTCATTACTTGTAAGTGACAGTAGATTATTGACATCAATCAGTATCCCTAGGAGCACATTTCTATTTGGCTCTGAAGAAAATACATTTTTTAAAATGTTAACCCTATTAATTGGTATTAAATTGTCATAAAGCAAGTGTGCATATATCACTTCATACACTATTTTATATAACTACTACAGATATTATATGCTTTTAATGTGATATAAAGATACTTAAAACACGAGGTAGCTCATATCTATAATATTTTGTGTATTAAAAACTATATACCAACCATCAGCCATGTTGCCTGTTAAGTATCTCTTTACTAAATATATATATATATAGACCTAAGTATATTTTATCTATATATGTACATAAAGCTCTGTATGTGTACATACATGCATGCACACACATAAACATACAAAGATTAATGTCTGTATATATTCTGTAATGTCCAGATTAATGTCTGTATATATGTATGTGTATGTATACAAAGGTTTGTGTGTATATATATATAGAAATATACTTACTATATATAATGACCATGGTGGAGGAAGATAACCATATCTTGTATCAGCAATCAGTTGCTTGATTTCTTTGCTAACTAATCACCCACATTTATAAATTCTATAGATTATTTTAGATATTGCAGTAGGCATGCTTTAACTTTTGTTCTGCAGCAATATCAATAGATACATAGAATACCAACATCAGTTGTTTGCCCTGTACAACCAAAAGGTGGCAGCACGACATTTGTAATCCATGGAACAATTCATGATGGCAAAGGTTATAACCTTATTAATATCCACTTGAGAATCTTGAACCTTAATGTTATTTTTTCAGTAAATAACATTAAGAAGTAACTCCATTTATTGGACAACACCATGTTTTTCTTCTTTAGGTGATATAGTTTGAGCAGAAAGGTGTATTATTAGTTTAGGTATCCAGGTTGTAGCTGTATTGGTGTAGAGGAAAAGGCAATCAGGACTTGTAGTAGAGATGATATTTTTTATTAAACTAACAAGATTTTTGCAAAAAAAAGTCTTTAATTGCAAGCTTTCAGGCACAAACACCCTTCATCAGGCATTGGAGAGTAGATTGTAAAAGTTCTCCTGGGTAGAAATGAAAGTTCAATATTTCATAGGATTTCACATAGGAGTCAATAGATGGAAAACTCCTCTGGGCAGTCAGTTCATAGCCGGTATGGTGAGCTTCATACCAGAGGTCAGGTCTGCTGCAGAGCAGTAGAATGGGATAATAAAATACAAATATGAATATTAATACTTCATTCTAAAATTCCTTTTCTGTATCAGCGTTTATTTTTTGTATTACAGTATTGCCTGCAGGCCTTAATGAAGCTGAAGGCCCCATTGTACTAAGGCACCCAACAAATACCTTATGAGAGGCAGTGCATGCCTATGGCTACATCTACAGAGGGATTTGTATTGCATTATCTATCTCTTACAAGCCTTGCTGTCCCATGAAATTCACAATTCCAAATTAAGGGCCAGACTCACCTTACGCTTCAATAAGCTGACTCTATGTATAAAGCATATCAATTTTTACAATTAATTATAGCACATACAGCAGTAGAGAAGAAGTATGACCTGCCTGCAATCAAAAGACAAATGAATGATTGAAAAATTCCACTGAGTGGTTTACTGGCTACCTGCCATTCTTGAATGACAGCATATTAAAAAAAAGTTCTGGGGCTAAGTATGGTGCGTCAGACCATATTTATTTGCAATAAAATAAAATGCTGATATTTACATGAGATTAAACTGCTTGATATTCTGAAACTGCTTGACTTTACTGACAGGGGACAAATGAAAAGCTACTTTTTATTAGATCTGACCTACTGGCAACCAATAACACATGCAATAACAAAATGAACAGTGTGACTGTTGAATGAAGTGATGTTTTCTAGATTTTCTTTCTGAATCAGTTAAAGCATTTTTTTAACCTTGGAAAGAAAGTTGTGTACTCCCTCCCCCACTCTCTGTAAGATACTTAAAAAATACTTTAAAAAAATCCTAAAGAATGTACATGGACTCATCAGAGCAATAACCGACAGGGGAAATCAATGAGAATTTTATACATGCAGAGGACTTGTCTGTGCTCTCCGGGCACAGAGGGGCACTGCTGAGAAGTATGCCCTGTATGCTTGCTCAATGGCTGGAGCTAGAATTTTAAAAAAGGAGGGTGCAGATGGTGCATCATTGCACATGAAACCACATATTTTTCTCCAGTTAAAAATAAACTAGAAATGTTACTAATATGCTACGGGCCTAGGGCTGTGTTATTCAGTTTAAGATCAAAGCAAAAACAAATATAACTTATTTTGAGTGAGTTAAAAACAATCTGTGGGGCTGTGAAATAGCAGCTTCAATACCAGGAGCAGCTGACAGAGAGCAGAATTGCAGAACAAAGGAGAGCTTAGTTTGATTGGTGGAACATCAAGACCATTAAAAAGAAGAGAGGGTCATTAACATCCATGAAATGAAGAGCTTGGAAGGAATTGTTATGAATACTGGGAATAATTTTGGAATTGGTGGGTGAAGTGGTGATTAAGACCAAGGATTCATGCCAGTAATAGGCTTGATCTAATAACAAACTACAAGCTTGCTTTGCTTACAGTATAATATAACATACTACACAGGTGCAATTGCAGCTGTGGAGGACTTCAGTGTCAGGATCCCCAAAGTCCACCGGCCAGGCACCTTGCCAAGCATTTCTCACGGGACCTCTGGGTGTCAGATGAATTCCAGCACTTCCAATTTGCTATGGTTGCTCAGGCATTTTATGTTC